ACTAACTATTCATTTCATTAATCAATGCTGCTTACAGTGTTACTTTGGTGTTACCCATTATCCTACCTTTAGTAGGATTATGGGTGCGGAGTGCGTGCGTGCTTATTAAACGACATAAAGTGCGTATCATATGCACGCAAAAACTATTTTTGCCATAATTGGACTTGAGAAATAAAATTTGTTGTACATACGCACTTTCATAAATTACTGTAACAATTCAATTGACTCCAATAGTTGGTATAAAAGCAAGATGCAAATTATATGAAGTACATATTTTCTAGATAATTTTTAATCAGTTCTTTAGCCTAGGCTGTAATACAATGTCAATATATAACAATATAATATTTATTTTGATTTGAAGATCATTTCGTCTAACCTCACGGCTGCCTGCCAGAGTGCCTATGATAACCACCAGAGGGCATTCCTTAGTCCTTTACCATTCCATCAGGAACTACATTTCCCATTATTATTTGCCTGGACACATTATCATGCCTGTGTGTCATTTAGCTTGTGTATATAAGCCGTGTATTTTCTGTCATTCTTTACAAAGTCTTGTATGTGTTACACTGCATTTCTGAGCATTATTTCTGGTTTTTAGTGTCATGTTTTTGTCATGTCTCCCTGAATTTCCCTGTGTCTTGGACTGTTATTATCTGTATTACCCTGGATTTTTGACCCTATCCTTGTTGTTATATGGATTGCGATTGTAGATTACCCTCAAGCTGCGTTTGGATCTACAAACCCAAGTCTTGGCGCATTTCCTTAACACTTAATAATATCATGCTTAATATTTTTCTAATGCACCATTTTACCTGTCCAGGATTAACTTTAAAATGTTTTACCCTCTATATTAACATGTTAAAGAAGGAATGAAAGACCTCTTATTTATTCCAAATATAATTTTTCATTGTAAAAGCATCAGCAAGAGTACAAATTATGAGGCACTTGCTGTTCATTTAAAACATCTGTGGTGTGATTCCCCACAGTCCACTGATGAAGGCTTCACTCTAACATCTGACATGTGCAGACTAAATCTGTCATGAATCAAGATTTAATGTCACTACAGTACTTCGTCTGTACGAGTGTTCAGCCCTCCTGGACACTGTTGACACTGTATAGATCATCCCGTCGCTGTGTAGTGATTGGGATCTGCTGACGCACATCAGCCAAATACTGAAGATCTACAAGCAGAAGAGGAAGAGTATGTTTGCATTATGCTCAAATGGCTCTATATGGCTCACAATTTAAATTAATGTAAAACACTGAAACTCACCTATGTCAGCATACACAACAGATTCCTCTGACCCAGCTTTGGTAATAACCTCCCCCCTGCAAGGAAAGAAGGCACAGGTACCAAACCATGATAATCCATTCTAATGTATGCATAACCTGTAGCTAGAAGAGATAGAAAGCACTTACCAAGGGTTAACCACAGAGCTGTGACCCCAGGCCACATAGCTGGCGGTCTCATCTCTTGCTGGTGAAGCAGTGGCCACATATACCTGATTATCTACTGCCCTATGAAAAGGACACAGACCGTCTTACAGGGGAATGGGGAAGGGAGAACTGAAGTTTGGGAACTCTAGATGGTCTGGGATACTGACCTCCCCCTCTGCAGAAGCTCCCAGTGAGCTGGTCCGGTGGTCATATTGAAGGCACCAGGATATACCAAAAGCTGGCAACCTACATAGACAGAGAAGTTTTTATTCAAAGAGCATAAGTTTTTATTTTTATTTTATTCAAATCTTCACATTTACCATTTTAAGAACTCTCACCTTTCTTGGCATAGATCTGTGCAAGCTCTGCAAACCTGATGTCATAACATATTCCCACACCTATTTTACAAAATGCTGCAAAGAAAGACATAAACCGTGTGAATATACATCTGGGGAGAGCAAATACATAAAGGTAACATTGGAGATGTTTACCAATATTTATACTCTGCACAATACTGATCAGGCAATAATTGATAAATGACCAATTTTGAAATGATTATATATATTTTGTAAATACTTTTAAAATAAACACACACAAAACTTGAAGCAATTGTTTTAAAGGCTATAAGTGAATCTAGGCATCAGAAAATTACAGTAGCAGCTTATTGCAGTACATGAGATCCAGAGGGTAGAGTTGGATCCAGATCTAAGGGGTGGAGATGGGTAGGATTAGGGGTGAGGTTAGGGATCAGGGGGTGGAGATGGTATGGTTAGGGGTAGGGTTAGGGATCAGGGAGGTGGAGATGGGTAGGATTAGGAGTGGGGTTAGGGATCAGGGGATGGAGATGGGTAGGATCATGTAAGGTGGGAGGAGTTGGATCTGGATTACGTGTTCTGCAGTGAGGACCATCTCGAAAATTATAATATAAAACTGAAAATGGATATTCAGATTAAAACTTGCTAAATATTACATATAACACTGTTATTAATTTATTATTAGTTTTTTTTTTTTTTTTTTTACAAATTAACTAAATGTAAAAATAGGAGAAATAAGTATGCACAAAAATCCAGTATCTTCAGATATATAAACCAACACTGATAGTGATACTGATACATTTATAAAAGAAAATCTCTAATATTGGCCAATGAGCAATATAATACCAATCTATAAGTAACACGGTGAAGACTTCTATAACACTCACGTGTTTCAAACATGGATAAACTCTTTCCTGGACTTAGTGTTTCAGACTCTTGAAACCGTATTTTCCCAGGTACATCAATATCAAAGAGGTGAATCTGAAGGAAATGGGGGTATGCATAGTGTCAGTCGTGTTTTTTTTTTTTTTTTTTTTTTTTTTTTTTGTTCCACTTTAGCCAAATTATTAACCTAAATACTTACAATGCTTAATTTTAATACATCCTGAAATATTTTATATATACACAAACATGTTAGGTTGTTAAGACGAATCTATTAAGTGTTTTTTAAGTATCTTATGGTCACAGAGGTTGCATTTATTCAATCAAAAATACTGTAAAAAAACTAAAATTGTGAAATATTATTAAAATTTAAAAATGACATGTTTTCTTTTAAATGTGCAGTAATTTATTATATGCTAGCAAAGCTGAATTTTCAGCAGTCATTACTCTAGTCTTCAGTCACAGTCTCACATGACATGACCCTTCCAAAATTCTAATATTGTGATTTGGAGTTTAAGAAACATCACATTATTATTATTAATGCTGAAAACAATTGTGTTACTTAATATTTTTTGTGTCAACTGTGATAAGATCTTTTAGGATTATTTGATGAATAGAAAGTTCAAAAGAACAGCATTTATTTTAAGCTGAGATATTTGAAACATTATAATTGTTTTTTACTGTCACTCACTTTCCTGTGTTTGACAAGCAGCTTTCCATCAGGTCCAAAAACTGAGCAGGTGTTATAGAGCTTCCCACTATCCTCCTCAGGAATGGAACCTACAACATACACACAATCATATAAGAAACTAGAAATGAATGACATCAACCACACCAATGTGCTGGTTTGTGTCTGAGGGCCTCACCTCCCACTAAATAGACCCCACACTCCTTGGCGGCCTCTGACAACACCTTTGTGGACTCTCCTGGGATCTTCTCAGCATACTCGGCAAAGAACCCAGTTCCATAAGGCGAGTTGAAGCACTCCTACAAAAAAACATGGATGAAGGATTATTAAACATCATATTGTTCTATAAACCAATGTTTATGCAGCAATCAAACACATTAATTATGCATCAGTGGTGAAGAGTAATATAAAGTAGTCAACGTGTATTGTTCAAAATCCATGTATAACTTTGAGGAAAGGTTTTGATCCCCTTCAAATGTTGACTACTGTAATGTTGACTACAAGTTAGAGAATGTAATACTCACAGGTAAAACTACAACTTTTGCACCTTGGCCTGCAGCCTCCTTCACAAGTTTTTGTGCTCTTCCCAAGTTGTCAGCCTTAATCTTTGACACATGTAACTGCACCACACCCAGACGAAACTCTAGGGGGGCAGATGATCAAGTTTGTTAATTAGCTGCTCCGGGATAAATGATTCACTCTTATAACTTTTTAAACCAGCTGTCTTTTATCTTTCATCTGAACTCTGCGCTTTTGTACTGTCAAAACAGATGCAGTCAAAACAAAAGACATGTGTTTTAGTTTTATTGTAGGTTTGGGTGATACAAACTAAAAGCACAGTCAACGCATGATAAGTGAACTACAAAAGCTCAAAACATTTATAAAAAAAAAAAAAAATTAAGTTCAAACATTTGCACATTTGATTTGTCCAGTATGAAATTCTCAATGCAAAGTGAAAGAAGGGATGCAACAATCAGCAAATAAAATACACGAAATAATTCGAAGACATAGCAATATATGTGAATAATATAAAAATATATATATCTACTCACTTGACATTGCCTTAAAGATACCAGACATAACAGGCTACTGCTCAGCTCAGAACAGACAGTACATTGACAGTCATGCATTGCAGGTTTACTTTACGCCCACTAAAATACATTCAAAATAAAAGTCCTCAGTCTATTTTTTACAGTCAAAAGTCATATTTTTCTTCGTGTTTTTTTTACTATTCAACAAAGCATAAACACTTACATTTCTTCGAAGTTTATTTATAATTTATTAAAAATCAGGAAGTTGAAATAATTGAGTATTTGAAAAATAAATAAAGAAAGAATGAGTTTATTTTATACCTACTCTATCCTATCGGAGGCGCAGTTGAACGTACACCGGTGTTGAACACACAAGAGAGGAAGACGTACCAAAACATGCGTGGTGAAACCTTTTTTTTTCTTCTTTACAGTCTATGGGTGAAACTGATATGATTCGCAGAGTTAGTTGTACAGTAGAATAAATGCCTTTCTTGCTGATTTCGCCAGTGCTTGCATGTTTATGCAAGTTTAATTGTATTGTAACTTAAACCTGAGCAGATGAATCTTAACAAGATCAGTGTCCTGACCAAACATGTGTTTCTATGCAAACATGTCTTGGGTAGGTGGTACACGAACTTTGCTAAATGTAAACCAATCATATTTTGTCAATGTTCTTCAAAATTAGTTGCTTCCATCTTACCATGCACAAGACAACGTTTAAAGACTGGGGTTGCAGTTCCAGTTCTGCCAACAAGGACTTTGTCATTGACAGCTTACATGTTCAAGAGCAAGAATAACAGCACAGAAAACAATCCAGAGGAAGAGGAAGATGAAATTGATGAAGCTGAAATAGAGGAGCTGTTCCAGCAGCAGATCCCCACAGATATTGGGAAAGAAGACCACAGGATCTTTATTGTTCATCCTGATGTGAAATGGGGCAGAAGAAAGCAGTATCTGACCACAGGTAAAAAAAAGTGTACTATTTGATCTGATTTCAGTGTATTAATGTGACATATTTCAGAATACAGAGTTGTTCCCTTTAACAGCGGCACTTCAGATGGAAGAGGCTGTTGGGCTGGTGAACACTTTACACAAGTGGAGCGTTGTGGACAAGATCATCCTTTCCACCAAGACACCAGAAAATAAAAGAATTTTCGGCAAAGGAAACTTCCAGATGCTGACAGGTATATAGCTTACTGGTTTTGAATAAATAATATATTTTAAATACAACTTGACATCTTTTCTAATATGCTCTGATACATTGCTAAGAAAAGATCAGAGCTACTCCTGAGGTCACAGCCGTCTTTGTAAACGTGGAGCGTCTTTTACCTTCCTCGGAAGTGAGTATTCAGAGTATGATAGTGTTATTGCATACATCCACACTTCAAAAGCTTCTTTAAATTACTATAAAACAGCACTAGATTCTCTGTGGCTGTAATATTATCAGAATAAGTTCTACTTTGAATACTGTTGTGATTGAAATGTCAGTTGCAATGTGTTATGCTTGTGTTTCAGAAAGAATTACAGGAAGCCTGGGGAGTAAAAGTGCTTGATAGATACTCACTTGTTCTGCATATTTTCCGATGTAACGCTAGTACAAAAGAGGCCAAACTGCAGATCTCTTTAGCAGAGATTCCCTTGTTAAGGTAAATTGTGTTTGTTAGTTCACTCTTTTTCTTATCAATATTTGTTCCTGATTAAATCAATAATCCTTTCCTAGCAAAAAAATTCATTCAAAAGTTGGTACTTTTCAAATTTTGAATTGACATTCTTATGCTCACAAAGGCTGCATTTATTTGATCAAAATACGGTAAAAACAATTTATTATTACAATTGACTTTTTTTTAAATACATTTTAGAATTGTATTTATTCCTGTAATGGCAAAGCAGTATTTTTAGCAGTCATTACTCCAGTCTTCAGTGTCACATGATCCTTCAGATTTATAATATGCTGATTTTTTGCTCAAGAAACATTTCTTAATATCAGTATGTGCTGCTTACAATTTTTTGTGGAAATTGTGATAGATTTTTTCAGAATTCTTTGAGTAGAATATTCTAAAGAACAGCATTTATTTGAAATATAAATCTTTTGTAACATTATACGTCTTTATTGTGATTTTTAAACAATTTAATGCATCCTTGATACCTTGTGACACAATGAAATCCAATGAGGGAGTTTCATTTTGTCCAGTCTGGTGTAATTACTTTCAGATTACACTAAAAAGTAACACCAAACACGCTTTTAACATATTTTTTTCTGTTTGAACACAATAAGATCACGCCTGAAAAATGAAATGGCAAACTTAGACCAGCAAGGTGGCGGCTCAAGGTACATTATGGGCTCAGGTAAGGAAACATTTTTAATCATTTTTAAGCATTTTTAATCTCAGGTTAATTTTTTTTAACTGGAACTAAATGCATGCAGACTGTTGTCTGCAGGTGAAACCTTGTATGAAATGCAACAGAGATTGTTGAAGGAGCGAGAGATGAAGATCCGATCAGCCCTGGAGCGACTTAGGAAGAAGAGGCACCTGCTGCGCTCTCAGCGCAAACACAAAGACTTTCCTACCATCTCTGTCATGGGCTACACCAACTGTGGTGAGGTTTGGATAATATTAATTTGTTAATCTGTTATATGAGATTGTAAGAAACACACATTCATAGTCTTTGTTTCTGAAGGTAAAACAACTCTGATTAAAGCACTGACTGGAGATGCTGGTCTTCAGCCTAAAGACCAGCTCTTTGCCACCCTGGATGTTACAGTACATGCCGGACAGCTGCCAAGTCACATGACTGTACTGTTTGTAGACACCATTGGCTTTTTGTCCCAGCTCCCTCACCAGCTCATTGACTCTTTCTCTGCCACACTGGAGGATGTGACACATTCTGTATGTACCCAGAACACAAGCTTTTTATTTTTAGCGATGTCATAGAAAGTTTGGTAACACTTTACTTAAGGGCTTGATGTATAATGTATTTTAAAGATATTCATAATGTATCTTATAATGCATTCACTAATCTAGATACATTTATATAGATCAGTGAATGCATTATACCTTTTCATAAATAATTGTTACCAATGTTAAAATGCATCATTATACTATGTGCACATTACTTGTTACATCTGAAATTGGTTGTGTTTGTCATGTGTTTTAATGCATTATTGTTTCCAAAGGTTCAATGAATAGATAAGTATTATAACTGTGGTTACAATTATTTATAAGACTATACGATGCATTACAACACATAATTAATGCATTAAAATACTTCTATAACACATAATATTGTATATAAAGGCTTTAATAAAGTGTTACAGAAGTTTAACCACCCTCACCTTTTGCAGGACCTCATAATTCATGTGAGAGACATCAGTCATCCAGAAACTGTGAATCAAAAGGTTAATGTTCTGAATGTCCTAAAGAATCTTCAGATTCCAGAAAGACTACTCAACTCCATAATAGAGGTGCACAATAAGATTGACCTCATTGAAGGGTGAGAGACAAAGTCAGTCATTTGGTTAGGAATAGTCAAATAATTAATTTGGTTACACTTTATTTTAAAAGGGATATATATATATAATGCCATTTTCATACAAGTTAATTAAATTATTTAGAGTCTAAATGGATAGTTAGTTTGTAATATACTTTAATTAAATTACCTAAAATTTTACCTAACTCACAGGCAATGACATTTTGCATGAGCGAGATATTTTATTATTATTATTCAATAAATATGTTTTATATACATTTTACAGATACGAGGCCAGTGATCCTGAGGTTATCCCCATATCAGCTCTTAAACAGCATGGACTGGAGGTCTTAAAAGAAAAGATTGAAGAAGCTGTTGTTAAGTATACCGGAAAACAAACAATGACCCTCAAGGTGCAGCTCAACACCCCACAATTAGCGTGAGTTAAGTAAAAATGAATATTTTATTAAATTATTTTATCCACAGACTCGCTCATGTGTTGCCCTTTGCCCTTTACAGTTGGCTGTATAAGGAGGCGACGGTTCAGGCGGTAGATGATGTTGGAGATGACTGCACTGCCAATGTCAAAGTCATCATTAGCCAAGCTGCATATGGCCGATACAGGAAGCGGTTTCAAGTCACCTAGTTACAGCTGGCCCCTGTTTCACAGCCAGAATGACATCGTCCAAAATAATTCACACAATAATGATGTGTAAATATTTATTTGCTCTATAAACAGTGTATTTAAAATATCTCAAAACCTATATTTTACAACAATAAAATCTGACGGAAGCAAAGTTGCTTTGTGTTAATATAAACAATATTGTTATAAAATACATGTATTTTGTCTATCAACATTGTTTTTTTTTTATTAAACATGATACAGTTAAAAGCATATGTAAACACATAGAGGATTAAATATTGCACTAACCTTTAGGCATTAACCTGCATACTTTTAAGCCAGGTGTTCACACTGTACGATTTTGGTCATGATTTTGCCATGATCATTTGCCATTCCTCGGATCCTAGCCCAAAATCTGAAGTCTTTATTCGCTAGTTTGACATGTTCACCGACGGCGGATTAATAACCATTGCGATCAAATTTGCGACCTAAAACAACTGTCAAATCAGAAACTATTTGGAGCGCCGAACTTAAATCATGACTTACAGCGAGGATCATGTTTGTACAGTCTGACTGACAAACAATAGTCGTTAAAGGAGAACTCTGGCGCAAAATGAACCTTTGGTCTAATAAAACATTGGTACCTAATCAACCGTTCTCTGAGATTTGTTTTCATGATAGTTGAATGTAAAGAGTTTAATCTTTAAAAACTCTTTAGCTTATAACGCTAGTATATAGGGCATTTACTAATTAAAAAGAAATCGCTAGTTTTTATACCACTAGCAAGGCTCAAAATAGGGCTCAACCTGGGTTTGTGAACGACAAAAACACATTGTGCTTCAACAGCTCCTTGATTACAGCAGTTTCTTGTTGAGTGCAATAACAAGAGAGCAAAATGGGACGGGTCCAATGAAGTCGCCTGCTATTATGTTTAGACTTGTGCGTTCAGCTCCTGGTTTCTGATCTTCTAGCCATATCCTCACACAGTTCCAATTGTCCAGGGTCAGAGTTCGGAGAGATGTCCGAGGGTGCGAGGCGATGAAGCATCGATCTGTCGTCAAATTCAGGCCTGCTACGAAAAACCCCTCTGCGCAATAGAAATATTTTTATCAGAGACCAGATATTTAAGACTAGAAGTACGTGGAACCATCTTTTTTTTTTAAAGCTTCTCTCACCTGGTCGACCATTCTGTTTCTGCTGATCAAGATACTGGATCAGCTCTTCTGCATCAGGCTTATTGGCCCAAAGGTACGGGATAGCCTTCCACAACTCCACATGGCGTTCTACTGACTGGTGGTCCTCATATGATAGAACTACTTGATAGCCTGATGTCCACAGGCTCCGCAAGGTCAGTGGGAACTCCTTTAAAAATATGAAAGGGACAGTGAATTGAGAAGGCCAAGTTTGGTAACCCATACTCGGAATTCATCCTCTACATTTACCCAATCCAAGTTAGCACACATATTAGGAGTAGGGAGTAGTGAAAACACACACTTTCACACACATACAAAAAATTTTTTTGGAAAGATTGCCGACCAAGGCTGCATTTATTTACAGTAAAAACAGTAATGTTGACAATAATATTGAACATACAATTGTACGATAAAATATCTTGATTTTTTATGTTAATATATTTTAAAATGTAATTTATTCTTGTCCAGTCTTCAGTGTCACATGATCGTTCATAAATCATTCTAATATGCGGATTTGGTGTTCATTTTATTGGTGCTAATTTATTATCAGTTATTGGTATTAATGTTGAAATTAGTTTTGTCATTTAATTTATTTGTTGAAACCGTGATGCTTTTTTCCCCCAGGATTATTTAATGAATAAAAAGTTCAAAAGAACACCATTTATTTGACACAGATCTTATGTAATATGATAAATATCTTTACGGTCACTTTTGATCAATTGAAAGTGTCCCCATTTACCTCAAATTTTTGAATGCTAGTGTATTATGGTTTTCACAAAAATCCTGAATATTCAGCTTTGTATGACAGAAATAATTGACATTTTAAAAGAGATTAAAATAGAACACAGTTCCTTTTAAATTGTAGTATTATTATTTCACAGTATTACTGGTTTTACTGTGTTTTTGCTGCAGCCTTGGTAAACCTACCAGACTTCTTTAAAACACATTAAATCGTAATTATTTTAATCTTTTGACCTGTATTATATTAAGTAAAAATGTTGTTGTGTTTGAAATTCCAAATGGTTTCTTACATTGTGAGGGCACAGCTTAGGACCAAAGATTTTCTTCAGAGAATAGATGAATTCCTCATGCCGTTTATGATTCAGCCCTTCGAAATTTCTACAAGCCAGAATGACGATTTCTTTAGGATGAGATTCAAGCCATGAAGCAACTGTCTGTAGAGTTTTCTGTAAAACAAAACATTTTATAAAGCAAAAAAATACACAAAATAAAGAATAAAATGGCATACTTATTTGCTAATTCATCTCAACATGTGCATACTTACAATGACGGTTGCATGTGTGTAAATGACATGAGTGAAGTAAAGCTCTTTGGAAGAATCATACTGTTTATGGGCAATTCGAAGGTCAAAATATCGAATGCCTGCTGTAAGTTGCTCCACAATGTCTTGCACCTGCTTGCAAAATAAGGGGCTTTGATATAATGTTACAAATACATTTAATGTAAAAATTCCTGAATTTTTACCACAAATATTGACATTGAGCGCAATGGGAGACACACTTGTGTTTTATCTCTGCTATGAAATATTAGGCTTTTTAAATAGGTCAACTTCAAAATAATACAATATTTGAGGAATATGCCTGCCTGAGTAGTGGCCCATCTGTAAATAGCTGGTCGGGTGAAACAGCAGAAAACTCCATCCAGCAACCGGAAAGTGTCTGACTCTGACCGGAGCAGAGGAGAAGTGATATCCAAACAGTAGCTCATTGCATCGTGGCTACCTGAAAACAAATGTTTTGGAAAGAATTAAACTCCAAATTTTAATATCCATGTGAATTTTGTGGACAAGAAAAAGAGACTATTTTGCATCTGTTTTATTACTGTATCTACTCAAGATTATTTAGAAAAGATAAAGAAATGTAATATAAACTGTATTTGATTTGTTTTTGATTTTCTGAATGATAATTTGGAAAGTAATGAACAATATATTATGCAGTAATTTATATAATAATGGTAGGATAAATAAAATGTAAGAATTGACTTGATTTTGTCCACCTCAATTGCTATTGATGTAATCCCAAGTGATTGTCAGGTGGTCCCACTTTATGCCACTAATCACGTCATCAGAGAAGAGCCGTGTAGCAAGCAAGAGGCGGAAAAGTTGTTTTGGTTAAAGATTATAAGGGCAGATTAACTTAAATAATTATGTTTACGGATAAATCATTAGCCTATAATAAATCCGGTAGTATTTGTTAATAGTGAAGTAAAGCTATCCCATAAAAAATATTGTGGATTTTGATAAAATGGTGACTTTAAAGAAATTGTAAAATATTAAAAATGGCATGTTTAAATAATAACATTTATAATAATTAACAGTTACATAATTACATAGTTAACATAATAACAACCGGTTAACATCGCTATAAATGTTGTTTTTTTGTTTTTGTATCTTGTCTTTCAGAGGGCTACTCACCTGGTATTGAGAGATTTGTTAAAGGGACATCCCACAGTTTCTCTGGCAAACATGACATCCATTCCTCGTGTTTCATTTCAGCCTTTTTAATTTGATCCATCAGTTTACCGGAGTTTATTCCAGTAGCCTAGCTCTTCACAAATGCCTCTGGCTGCGTTTTAAAACAAAGAGTTGATCAGCTGAAACCGTCCGTGTTTGTGCGAAACAACAGATAACACTGCATCGATTACGAGGATCAAAGCCCAACTCTTTTTAAATGTATAACTACATCAGTTAGTCAACTCATTTTTCTTCGAAAATAAAAAGTCATTTGGACGTGTTATGATTGACATGAAAGACTCAAGTGCTAGCTCTGTATTTCCTTGTTCCCTGGTGCCTCAGTCTCTCGCGCTTCACAGCTGATTGCAGAACGCCTTTTTCGTTCACGAGAGTTAAAACCGCCCAAAACACATTTTATCGCATTGCCACGTCCGTATAGGCTACTTTGCTAATTTTCAAGATTAAAAAGCAATATTACAGGTGTTTTTTTTTCTGAATCAAAATTAGCCTACAGTTATCGGTTATATATATATAACCGATAACTGGAAAAGGGATGCTCCCTCCCTTTTCCATCCTGTTGTTTAATTAATTTTTTTACCATAATCTAATTTTAACAGAACATTCTTTTATTAAGCCTTTTATTACCGTTAGACATACTTTGGCAATACAATAATAATTTAGTTTTGTCCCCCTCCCTCTCCCTCCCTCTCTCTCCCCCTCTCTCTCTCTCTCTCTCTCATATTTTTCAATCTGTTATTCCAAACTGTAGTTTGGAAATCTGGTGACCTTTCATCATTTTATCATCTTTGTGCTGGATAGAGACACAAAACACCTTTATCAAGGGTTAACTTTGACTAAAGGCTTTCAGCAGAGTCAATAATCAATAGAACAAAGGACAATTTAACTGCTTTCTATGTCAGCTAATTCTTGCTCTCTCTTGTGTGCTTCTTTTTGTTTGGGTGCTGATAGATTCAGAGAAGCCTTCAGTATTAAAAACTCACCGGTTGTTATTAATTTTACACTGAAACTCAAACACAGCATAAATAATACTATCAATAATATTAGGTATTTAATTGCTTTATCTATTTATTCTTTTAATAAATTAGGGCATGCCTCAAAACTAAAATAACTTTTTCCAAACCCAGAAAGACAGATTCAAACCATCAACAATTAACATTAAACCAGAACAGCCTGAAACACTTTGCCAAATTTGATATAGAAACTTCTTAAATTAGAAATCAATTTAAAAAAAATGTAAATGGAAAAATGTGTGAAAACAGTACAAACAATTGAATGAATGTAGTTAGATATGTTTTATTTATTGCAAATCTTTAAATATTAAATGTGAATATTTTATATTCCATTCAACTGCTGATATTGTTTAGTATACGCATATTTGTTAGTAATGCAAACTGATACCATGATTAAACTGGTTTAAATTGCATGCTACTATGGCAGAGAACATACAGTATGTGCAACCACAGAAATATTCCAGTGTCTCTTCATGCTTTTGATTGTGTGCACCATGCAGACATGTACTTATCTGAATCATATTTCCATTGCCATCACACAGTAGAAAGTTGAAAAGAGTATAGATCATAAAGAATAAACAATCCTGAGTGTTTTATAATCCTATTTGAGGCTTGTCGTGAGTAGTCTTTAGCAATTCTCATGCAAACTTCAAACTGTGAATGCTCCCAGGGAACTTATTGTGTCCTGTAATGTGCTTGTGTCTTGTGCCTGTACGTAAAGTTGTGGTAAGGTAACCCGGGACCTTAATCATGATATGGTGGAACCTTAAAATGATTAACATTTTTGCAAAATCAGAGGCATCTATTGGAGACTGCATAAATAAGTTTAAGATAGTAAATTCAAGTCATAAAAGTCAGTGCATTACATTATTCTATCCATAACTTAAAACTATCTATCACCCTCAGGGTGCTTACACACTAGATACAGCTCTACAATGGAGCATTTGATGGACAGCATCCATTTTGAGGATAAGGAAAGTCCTGACAATGCACCATAACTATTGAAATTAATGGAGCTGACGCAGCATAAACTCTATAGTGTAAGCACCCTTATAAAAAATAGCAAAGTTGACTAGTATAAAAACATCACACGAACGAGAAGCACTTCTTTCTTCAAATGTTAAATGCATTGTGCAAGCTTAAGAGGGTCAAGGCTCTGGTATTATGGTCCTGTTGAGCAGATTTTCATTTAGTGCAATAACGGTAGCTATGAATTGGCTCTCAGTCACAAAGTCCCCAGCTATGATGTTGAGGGAGCCGGGATTAGAGCCAGGCTTCTGTTGTTTGACCCAGCTAAGTAACTCGGGATATGTAGACATCACCACATCCTTCAGTGATTCTGTGGGGTGGGAGCATATGTACTTCAGATCTTCAGTAAGATTGATGCCAGTCACAAAAAAGCCACCTGTTGAAAAATGGTGTGCATGGAAACAGATTTCACTTTCCCAAGAATGACAGTTTTTTCAAGAAAATTAAATAAAAGCTTTATTTTAAATATTTAGCTTTTCCAAGGATGATAGTTTTATCGAGAGAGTCAAATAAATATTAAAAACAAGTTAGTGTTACAGGAAACATTTCACTTTTCTAAGGATGATTTTTTTTATTAAGTAATAAAGTAATGACTAAAAGAAGTCATTTATTCATTCATGGCATACAGTATCATTAAGGATTACCTGGCCGGCCATTTTGTTTTCTACGTTCAAATTCCTCGATCAGCGCTTCAGCCTTGCACTTGTTGGCCCACCAATAAGGTATATGAAACCACAATTCTCTGTGACTGTAGGCAATATTGTCCTCATATGAAACGATAACTTGATGACCCTGGCTCCATAATGTCCGTAATGTCACACGATCCTGACAGAAAAAGCAGAAGTATATTTCCATAATGCATTAGATACAGTACATATTTTTACTTATATTGTGTATATATACACTCACCTAAAGATTATTAGGAACACCATTCTAATACTGTGTTCGCCTTCAGAACTGCCTTAATTCTACGTGGCATTGATTCAACAAGGCATTCTTTTGAAATGTTGGCCCATATTGATAGGATAGCATCTTGTAGTTCATATAGATTTGTGGGATGCACATCCAGGGCACAAAGCTCCCGTTCCACCACATCCCAAAGATTCTCTATTGGGTTGAGATCTGGTGACTGTGGGGGCCATTTTAGTACAGTGAACTCATTGTCATGTTCAAGAAACCAATTTGAAATGATTCGAGATTTGTGACATGGTGCATTATCCTGCTAGAAGTAGCCATCAGAGGATGGGTACATGGTGGCCATGAAGGGATGGACATGGTCAGAAACAATGCTCAGGTAGGCCGTGGCATTTAAACGATGCCCAATTAGCACTAAGGGGCCTAAAGTGTGCCAAGAAAACATCCCCCACACCATTACACCACCACCACCACCAGCCTGCAAAGTGGTAACAAGGCATGATGGATCCATTGTTGTCATTCTGTTTACGCTTAACAGAAATCGAGACTCATTAGACCAGGCAACATTTTTACAGTCTTCAGCTGTCCAATTTTGGTGAGGTCTTGCAAATTGTCTTTTTTCCTATTTGTAGTGGAGATGAGTGGTACCCGGTGGGGTCTTCTACTGTTGTAGCCCATCCGCCTCAAGGTTGTGCGTGTTGTGGCTTCACAAACACTTTGCTGCATATACCTCGGTTGTAACAAGTGGTTATTTCAGTCAAAGTTGCTCTTCTATCAGCTTGAGTCAGTCGGCCCATTCTCCTCTGTCCTCTAGCATCAACAAGGCATTTTCGCCCACAGGACTGCCGCATAATGGATGTTTTTCCCTTTTCACACCATTCTTTGTAAACCCTAGAAATGGTTGTGCGTGAAAATCCCAGTAACTGAGCAAATTGTGAAATACTCAAACCAGCCCGCCTGGAACCAACAACCATGCCACGCTCAAAATTGTATAAATCACCTTTCTTTCCCATTCTGACATACAGTTTGGAGTTCAGGAGATTGTATTGACCAGGACCACACCCCTAAATGCATTGAAGCAGCTGCCATGTGATTGGTTAATTAGATAATTGCATTAATGAGAAATTGAACAGGTGTTCCTAATAATCCTTTAGGTGAGTGTTTAGTTCCCACCATCTATTTTTTTTTTTTTTTTGATTGATTGATTGATTGATACATACCATTATAGGGCAGAGTTTGGAATCAAAAACACTCTTTATAGTTGAGACAAGCTGTGTGTGACGCTCTTGATTGAGGTCAAGGAAGTGGCTAAATGAGAGGATGACTACCTCCTTTGGATGAACATCCAACCACTCTCTGATCTCTTTCAATACTTTCTGAAATAACACAATACATTAGTTTGATTCAATTAAAAGCATTTAGTACTATTCTTCAAACATCAAACTCTAACAAATTAGAACTACACTACACATATCAAAATACACAACAAACAGATACTGGGAAATGTTATGCTATATTTTAAATCATTAAACGCCTTGGCAGTCTTTTAAATGTATTTTTTGTTCGATCAATAATTTTCATAGTCTTACCTCCACAGTCATAGTGGTATAAACACCATGGTAGAAGTAGAGATCATTTGAGCTGTCATTAGGCCTATGTGCTATCCTCAGGTCACAGTATCGCACTCCACAATCTAACTGCTCCCTAATGCAAGACTCCTATGGTAAATAATGTAAAGCACATTCATTAACAATGCAGGTGCAGTAAAGATAGTGCCAAACAGCTAGCTGGAGACATTGAAAGTGACATACCCTGTAACCATATCTGTAAATATGTAACAGTATCTATATTGATTTGTGTCCAATAGATTTGGGACAATTCTCATCCATCAATGTTACTTTTGTCATTACTATTCCATCTAATTGTGCTTTCAAAGCTATCACAGTGGCAAAGCTGAGTCTTTGATTGATTTCTCCATGTTAACAGACAGCAATGTACTGCCTCTCACGCTGATACATTTCAGACTCGTGCTCTACAGGAATCTGCTGATGCATGCTAACATAAATTGGTCTATAACCTCGTGAGGGATCCCATACTCAACATAACTGCATTTATTTCAGCTTTTACGTGTTTAGCCATTATGCGGTTTTTGTTGTTGTTGTTTCGTTTTTAATGTGACAAAGTCAAATTTGTTGGATATAAAGAATTTGATCATACCTTCTCTGAATTATATAATTATGATTTTTGTATTTCAACATATTAAGAACACCAAGGCTTTCAATGAACCCAGACAGTTTACTATTTGTTTGTGTAATTGACCAACTGTAAAATGGTTCCAAGTAATTTAATGGAAAAAAAAATTACACCACCTCCCCCCATTAATTAATAATTATAGTTATTTATAATAGAATAGTATAAAGCTGCAATATAATTTCTCTTATTTGAAGGCAAAACGTGATTAAAATGTTAACTTCACACTTATTGCAGTTAACTCAAACAATTGCAATTAGATCAAATAACCACAATCAGATCATAACTACGTACTTGTGCTATTGCCCATTTGTATACAAATGGCCTTATGATGGGTTTCATGTACTTGTCCAGCTTTTGCAACATATCTGGTTGAGTGAGGTCCACTGGAGAGCGGTCGTTCTTATCCAGGCAGTAGGTTATGGCATTATGGCTCCCTACAAACCACAAACCACAACAATGACACATTGACCATGAGCATTAATGGTAACAAACTAAACTGTCTAAGTAAATATAAGCAGAGCAGACTGTAAAAAAAAAATAATAATATTAAAATATAAATAAATAAGGTATGCACTGCAGTTAATCAGAAATTGAAACACTGGTCAGTCTCATCAAGTAATGGCACTCTCCAAAAATAACAATATCCACACTTTAATAATATAGCTGTGGATTTATATTCAATTTAAACCATACAAATTCTATCATTGTGGGCACTTAAGAAAAAACAAAAAAAGTCAAATCCCCACAAAAATATTTTTAAGTACTCAGAGGTACATATTAAAAGTATATATTTTGCATGTGGTTAGAGAACATATAAATGAGTGGTTAAATACCTGGAATAGCCATGTAACAGAGAGGTGTATCCCACAGAGCACTGGGCAGATTGGCCATCCAGTTATCCATGGGCAGTTCACTCAATGACACTTGGCTGTTCGCCGATGTCATCTTGGATTTCTGTCAAAATGTAAAAGTTGAGAGAATGTGTATTTTATTTCATTCAACTTCAGTCTTAAACTTTGTTAAATATCCCAAATAAACACAAAGTGACCACCCTGTTAAAAAGACTCCAGCATAGTTAAAGGAATAGGCTAGTTCACGTAAAAAAATAAAAAATAATTTCATCATTCACTCACCCTCAAGTTGTTTCAAACCTGTATGAATTTTTTTTATCTGCGGATCACAAAAAATTATATTTTGAAGAATGTCGGTAACCATTAACTAAAGTATTTTTTTTTTCTACTATGGAATTCAATTGGGTCCATCAACTGTCTGGTTACCGACATTCTTTAAAATATCTTCTTTTGTGTTCAGCAGAAGAAAGAACTTGAGGGTGTGTAAATTATGACAGAATTTTCATTTTTAAGTAAACCAGTCCTATTAACCAGAATGGCTCCCTAGGTCAAGAAACTTCGTGTTGCTCATGGTCCACCATCTAGAGTAGACCAACGCCAAACCAGCAATGGAAATTCATTGTGGTTTGTTTATCAGGGAAAAGACCAGTGGCTATGAAAATACAGGATTTTATCCAAATGAGACTATATATGAAATGAAATGTGCACTGTAATGAGTTATAAAATATCAGGATTTACCAGGCTTTAAATGTTGTTTCTTAGTCCAGGAAAAATATTTCAGCAATGATATTTAAAGTTCTTTCGGTACACTTGACACGTGAGTACAGGACAGGACAGGTTAAACCGGCTTCAACAGATTCCGATGCTGAAGGACTCGGATGCTGCGAGGAAATGACATATATTCGTCCACTTCATTGATTCCCATAGCACCATAGTGGTCGTGTAAAAGTGAGGTGGATGTTAACCGGCGCTGAATTTGTCATTGGCGGCACAAGGTTGAACAGGGCAGGGTATCCACAACAAAATCCCGCGTTGATAACCAAAATAGTCCGGAAGAAACTATCTTCTCCGTGTAATGATAAAATTAAACTTGTTTCAGAGTTTTACTTTCATTTCAATCATCAAATGAATATACGTACAACTGGAAGTTTCCATCATATGTCCATTGAAGAGGTATTAGAGAAAAGAAATGATAAAACGGCGCACTTGACCACTGCATTCTCTCCACCCGGTCAGGCTGACACTTTCAGAAACATACTACGGTGAAGGCATAGGTCATGAATATTAATTACGTGACGAGACGCTTCGGCCAGAAGCACCAAATGATTTGCTGAACTTGACTTATGAATATCAATGACGTAACGAGACGTAGAGCAAAATTATTTGCTGAAAGGCAGACGTTCGAGATGCAGCTAACAATTTACGAATGAAAACCTTCGTCCATGAATATTAATAAGGGTATTTAGCTGGACGCATGGAAGCGTCGTCGCCTTGCGTCATTAATATTCATAAACCTTACCCATAGTAGGATTCGTATTTTATCATGAGAGCGGGCGAAGGAGTGGTTTAATTTTTACTTTATAATGAGACAATGGTTCAAGCGAGAAATGAGTGTGTCAGCACACAGCCATTCTTTAATACAGAATACATCTGGTTGGACAAGTTTAATTCCCTTTTTCTAGATGGGACTGGTGATGCAGCTCCTCTCTGCTGCTGTGAGGGAACGCTAAACAGCTGACCTCAGTGTTGTAAGAGAAATAGTGTTTCGCGATGACACAGGACTTTTCTCTAATACCTCACAGCATCACTACAGAAGAGAAATCTCTATAGCATTATTCAGATAATTTATTTTCAGTTACATTTACATATTACATTTAACATCTTCAGGAAAACAACTATGAAAATGAAGTATACAGCCCAATGGAACCTATTCATTCCAGCTGTGCAGTTTCATTGTTTTCAATTTGACAAAGCCAACTTAATCAAGTTCACTATCACGCAGTGACTCCAGTTAACCTTGCTTTAACTTCACTGAAATTCAGCATGGAGTGGCTCCAAGGGCTTCTTTGTCTCGTATTATGTCACAACCCCCCTTTTAGAGACAAAGTTTGGAAAACAAGACAAGATAGTACTTTAGCCATAGCACAATAGGGCTTTTTCACATTGTGAAAATTGTCGAACAGCGATAAGAAGAATAGTCTAATGTACATTACATTAATACAGAACACAAGCAAATTGCATGCAGTCTTTGTGCTCTGCAATCTTTCAGTGGCTCTAGTTAGATTATACGCATGGTTAGATTATTTTTTTAAATCACATAACAGTTTCCATCAGTCAAATCTCATTCCTCATAATAGAAAAAAATAAATATATACAGCTTTTAAGGTGAAATAATTTAGGTACAGTCAGTGTCAATTTTCTTAAAGGCCCATAGCTTTACTTTGGAAAAATAAAATCCCATCAATGAATAAATTGTTACTGCTCTACGTGTTTCTCTTTCCTCTGTAAAGTCTACATAAAACAATATCCAGAGGTGGACAGTTAGTAGCCTAAAGTACATTTACTTGAGTACTGTAGCTACAACACTTTTTGAGTATTGAGTGTTTTTTTTTCTGGAAACTTTTTGCTTTAACTTCACTACATTGAAAAGACAAATATCATACATTTTTCTACATTTCTGTCAAGGTCCTTTCAGAAATTAGTAATGTCAGTCAGGGGACGACTTTAGTTCTAGGGGTTGCATTTTCGTTGGAAATGAAATTCATATGTGAATTTTGTCATTGTTTTGGAGCACACTAGCTTATAGATAACAGTGGCTAACATATTCATACTAAAAGCCAAAAAACTTTCAATCAGGCCCTATACTTGAGGGAACAGCCATTTGGGTGTCTGAAACCATTGTGGACGTTATTGAGTCCCCTTATACAATCTCACATTCAATCCCAGTGAACTGTGTTCTGTGTTCACCAAGATGGGCTATACTTGGAATCAGCTGGAAAGAATTGCCAAAGACAAAATAATCTGGAGATCTGTGGTCGGCAGCCCATACCCTTGCAAGGGTAACGGGCATAAGTAAGTATGTAAATTTGTACTTTCACTCAAGTAAGGAAATTGTGACAAGACAGAGTTCACTGAAATTACAGAGAGCAGATGGATCATTGCTGCAGTTTATCTAGTTCTTTATTGCCAAACCAAGACTAAAAAGGTCATGTGACGCTTAACTTTCTACAATGCTAAAATGTATTTATACTTTGCAATGTCGATGTTCAACATCAATATTAGAATATCATAAACTATACTTATACGTACTTAAACTATAATTGCACTGACATATAGTGTAATTTTTCTGTGACATCAGTCATGGGCATATACATTTGCAAATACAACTTCTAAATGAGCATGCTCAGAACTATAAATGTTATTTTACAGCTCTCTCTTTGCGCCGAGGTCCAGTTTTTTGGTTTTTTTTTTTTTTGGCTAGGGCCATCAGACTGTACGTTTTTATCTTTATAAAAGCTACAGAAGTGGATGTTTCTTTTACCTGCTATGATTTATATTTCTTTCTCAACAGAGCAAGTGCTGTGCTGTTTAACACTGTAGTCAAACTCAGCTCTTTCTTTAAACGATCAATAAGCCTTAGGCAGCTCCTAGCTAGCACAGCAGCCGCTCAACCAAAAGAATCAGTTGAGTCAGAAGATAACTTGGTTAAGTTTGAAAAGAACATCAGATGACAGTGGAGCTCAGCATTATTTATCCATCCATATCAATATTTAAGTGAAAATGTAATGTCTCAGGTAGCAATAATGGATGATACTCTGCTTGAATCTTGATCATTTAGAACTGAAGCAAGTTAAGCATAATCTGATGACTTTAAATGTGGCACAGTTATGGCAGTAAGACACATTACATTACATTATATTACATTAGCAATCAACGATCTGAACTGTTCTGCAATCATTTACAAGTAAGCACAATTAATATGACCAAACGAAACCCGTTCAGAATGTAAATGATTCACTCATTATCGAGTTCTCTCTCAGTGTGTAAGTTGACAGCAGGAGGCAGGTAGGCTACAGCCTGAGGAAACGGCACCGAGCGCAGAAATTGTGGTTTCTGGAGCGAAGAAAATGATTAAAACTGTGGAGAACACTTCCATTTGGACTAGCCAGAGGGCCCCTGGAGAAGAATGAGGTTGAAGGAAAATGACAGAGTAATTACTGCTTTAGAGCTTTACATGAACATGACTTGTGAACTCGCAATTTGAAGTGGCAGATGCACTCCAATGCTGCAAAATCTCATGCTCACAAACACTGCATTTATTTTTTATTTTGGGGGAAAAAATGCCGTTATACTGTATTTTTTCTTAAATTTGCTGTATTTTTGTAAATATGAATATTTTTTACTGTATTATATTGTCTTATTATCAACAAGAGTTGTGAAGCTTAATAATGTTGTGGAAACTTTGATGCATTTCAAATTGAACAGGATTTATTTGAAATCTTTCATAACATTATAAATGTCTTTACCGTCACTTTTGTCTTTACCGTCACGTTTGATCAATTTAATGTGTCCTTGCTAAATAAGTCTTTAAAACTCTTTGAATAGTATGATCTCCCGAGAACCTGACAAAAAGTTGTATGAAATTAATTTTATTTAGATTTATGCTATGTCCTCTGTAGTTAGGCTAGTTATTAACCCCTTAGCTGTCAACTTAAATGGTTGTAATTCATGAATGCTTTGGAATATATACCCAAGTTTGGTCATGTTTTAGAGAAAACACAAGTGAAAACAAATGAAAGTATGAAGAAGTTACAGAAGTTTAAATTTACAGAGAATCAAATATACTGTACTATATATTTATATATATATATATATAAAATATGTTTTTTACAAAATATTTATTCATTTACAAAAGATTTTTGAGCTGCAGTTGAGCTTTCCAACGATATATAATTCGTCATAATTAGATTAGGATTTAATAAACATATAGTAAAGTACAGTTAGGCATCCTGGTAGCGGGACGGTGACAGTTAAGGGGCTGCGAAAATGACTAACTTGGATGGACATATGAATGCTTTTGTGCCAAAACACGTGTTACCTTTCTTGTTCTAAAATACTACGTCTCTATGTATCAAGCACATAAAAATCCATTTTTGCTTTATTATTGGTCCTTTTTTAATGATCTTTAGCAAACACAAGAAAGGGTTCAGTGCCGAGAAATGCCAGAAAATAGATGAGTTAAAAATATCAAAAAAATAACTGTATCCTTAGAATTTATTCTAAATATAAACATCAAGGATTGACATATCCTTTCACACTCTGAAGATAGATGGAAGACCATTTCAGTTGCACACAAAACTTTCTTTTCCAACTCAAGCATGCCAATTCTAACATTAGCAAAGACGTTAAAAAACAACAAAGCAAGAGGACAAACAGGAACAGAAAAAAGGGCAAAAAAAGTTCAACCAGACAAGCAGATCCTCAGAACAATCATCATTTGTCAGATCAGAGTTCTTAAGTCTTTATTTATTTGCATAAGCATATCAGTAAGAAAGTATGATAATGTTTCAGTACGTGGAAAGCATCTCGACGTGCTCCACATCTTAACACAAACTACTATATACAGTCAAAAACGGAGGTTCCTTTTATGTACAGAAACACTGCTGCACGGCCCATAAAACCTACTTTACATGACACGTGCTCTCATGAACTGAGTCCAAGTGGAGCTGCAGCAGAAACGCTATGGCTGGGTAGAGACACAGTGATATAAATCAGTCCACAAAATAGACCAATCTGCACTTCTGCAATCAGCCAGCAAGGAGATTTTGGCACGCCGCACTAAAAACCTTTAGCTGATCCTCAACAGAGGAAAAACAGAATCTGGCACTTCCAATTACCGCTGCGGTAATTTGTGGCAGTTGGTTTCCGACGCTTTTGAAGATTGTCACCTTTGCACTGACGTTCTAGAGCCAAAAGACAGTTTTGCTCGGCTGGCTGACTTGACGTAGTCCCCAGCTGGACCTCTCTGGTTTTGCCCCCTCCCTCCCTGCCGGCACTTCCCTTTAGCCTCGGGCTCCGAGTCACTGAGCTCTGCGTCCGGGCAGTAACCGTCGCTCTCCTGGCACGCTCTGCTGCCCCCTAGCGGCTGCTCATTGGAAACCGGTTTGGAGAATCCAGAGGTCTTGCGTGCGTTCTTCTCAAAGGCCCGGAGGTCCTCAGTTCGTACTAAACT